ACACGGCCTCGCCCAGAAATTCTACCAACTCCACCACCAGCTACCCATTCCCCCTACGAATTCAACCTTCAATTCCGCCTCCACCACCAGTAGGCATTCCCCCTGCGAATTGACTGCCCAACCTATTATCCAACCCGACTCAGGTTTCACAGCAAACAAATTAAAAACAAGTGAGAAATCGGAACCAAGTACTATGACACGGAATATCAATCAAATAACCAACTATTATCACAAGCAAAGGAATCAAAACCTGGTTTTGAAGACGCGAAACCTAGATTCAAACTCCCTGTCGTGAAGCCTTCGATCCGTCTAGAACAAAAAAGCCCTTGATTTGAAGATCCGTCTAGAATCGCTCGCCGTAAGCACTGATTTTGTTTTTGGGTGGTGGGTGTGAGAGGATATCGATTTGCAGAGAGAGGGAGAGAGTGGCGAGGGTTTTCTGTGAGGGAAAGAGTTGGGAGAGAGGGATAGAGCGTTTCGCGTGTTTTCCAAATTTGCCTTTGTTTTGTAGGAATTGTCCAAAACGACGTTTATGTCATTTTCTGTTTTCTGTTGTTCTTTTTTTTTTCATTTTGAAAAACTCGTTTTCGAAAATAAGATAGAGAATGCGTTGTCGTTGTTTTGAAAAATTAAAAACAGAAAACGACTTGAAAACGATAAAGAGAACAGGGCCTTAGATACGTCAAATGTTCAATTACTGCTTTAAGTATCTAGTTTTTGTATTATTTATGTTTAAGAATTAATTTTTTTAATTATTCATGTTACGTCTTTTATCCTCAGATATCAGGCGGTTGGAGACACACAATGGCATTGACAACTGAAGGAAAGCTTTATGGTTGGGGCTGGAATAAGGTTTAGAATTAACAGCAATTTCTGGAATTTAATTTCTCATATTATGCAATTTAATTGAAAATGTATAATTCTAATTACTCCTTTCTTGGTCATTAGAATTGATTCTATATACTCAGATTTTCCATGTTCCCAGTTTGGTCAAGTTGGCGTTGGAGACAACTCGGATCATTGCTCACCAAAACCAGTCAAATTTCCACACGATCAGGCACATTCTTGTACTCTATTCGTTCCATATTAGTTGACTTCACTATTGGCAACTTTATCCAGTTCTAAAAAAATTGTTTCTTGTTTGGGTTATCCACTTTTTCATATATGGCAGAAAGTAGTTCATGTCTCGTGTGGCTGGAGGCATACACTTGCCGTCACTGACAGACATAATATATTTTCCTGGGGGAGGGGTACAAATGGCCAGCTTGGCCATGGGGATTCTTTAGAACGGTAATATCATACTGACCTCAGCTTTTTGTGGTTGAATATCTTTCAGATGACTCGAAGTTTCATAGTTTGAGTCATATTTTGATATTTATTTTGCTTATAGAATGAATATCTCGTTATAACAAATTAAGTGAAAGTTGAATCCCAATTGTCAAATTTCCACCTAGTGTAAACTGAGATAAATAATGAACCCTTGGAAATTCACAAGACCAGGGGAAGTGAATCTTTATTCTGCACTCCTCATCATGCACAGAGCTATTATACTACCTTTTCACCTACTATCTCAGTCGGTCCATATCCACTAATGCAAGGTTCTTCATTGAAATGTAGTAATAATCTTATAGGTCACTGCTGCAGTAAGTACCCAGTTATCCTGAAATGATGTTCTCTGCTTGTCATACATCTAAATTGGGTTGCGTTTGGCTTCCTGCTTTCTATCAGCTCTACTAAGCTTTCTGTTTTGTCGTCCTAATGGACAACATGATATGTGTGTATAAGACTTCTTGTTGGACTGAGTGGAGCTTGATTGTACTGTAGACATATCCTCTCAACCGCAAGCTTTCTAGGTGTATTTTTAGTTCAAGATTATATTAAGCATCCTATACATTTAGTATTAGATGTCCTTAATAATCCTACATATAAAAGGGACCTTTTAGGGGGTCTTATGAGACACAGGCTAAGAGGCATCATATCACCATTATAATCTTTTCTGTCATCATAGCGAAAACCTACAATCGCTAGGAATCTCTGTGTTTGCTTGCATGTGATTTTGACTTCGTATTTCTTAATATTTCTCTTGTAATTGGGATAAGAGCTTAATCCATAAATTATTTTCAAATATCGCGGCCTTCTGATATTATTTCCTATCTTTTAGAAATGTCCCAAAGATTATAGAGGCAATAAGTATGGATGGATCAAGTGGACAGCAGATAGAGGCCTCAAAAATTGACATTTCATCAGGTTTCATTGATAATTTTGATTTCATATATTAGAATTTACAAATGTTTCAGTTTTTACTTGTTCTACAACATGATCTCATTATAACAATGTTTTTATCATGACAGGAAAAACTACGGTCTCACCAACTGAGAGATATGCGGTTGTTCCTAATGAGAATGTAATTTGTTCTTTCTTTTAATTCCCATTAATATCGGGTGATGTGAATTAGCACAAATCTTTTTGGTTACTAGAAAGAAACAGTTCGAGAGTTCAATTGGCATAAATGAATTTCTAGACAATTAAAAGCTGGATTCGGGAACTAAAATTCTGTTTTAATTTTTGTCAGGTTCTAGGACGGACAGTATTTTTACTTGGCAGAGACGGAAATGACTCATATGTCCCTGAGAACGATGTGAAAAGGATGCGAATATGAGATAATCGACTTCATGGTGCAAACTGTCAACTTGTTGCTTCAAACTTTCTCCGATGGTCCTTTTGAAACTAGCAGCCATCAGTAATGTCAGTGTTATTATTCTCGACAATGTAAGTTAATTTCATTACTGAACCATACTATTTGTTAGTCCCATTCGTAAGGATAAATCAGTTATATTTGGAACTAATTGATTTTAAAAGAAGTTTCCTTGACATATTGATCAACTATGAAAAGATGGGAAATATCTCGTCCAAATATATGTCATTATGGCATATTGTGTATGCTAGATTGGACAAGACTAGATAGGATTATGCAGTATTGAATAAGAGTCTATTATACGAAATTTTCCATTATATGTATTTAACTGAATTCAACATCAAATCTTTCCATTCTGTACATCAATATTTCTAACAGGGCCTTTGAACCATTTCCTAGCATCCAGAAGCCACCAAAGTAGTATCAAGCCTAAACCCACACCAAGAGCAACTGGTGCATAATTAAAAGTATTCCAACCGATAGGATAGTAAGTTGGCAAAAGGAAGACTGAGCAGGTGTAACAAATCCATAGAAAGGCTATTAAGCAAATAGGCCTCCTTGCTTTGCCCAGATAAAATGGTCCTGGTTTGAAGTTTTTCTCGGCCATTACTAGTCTGGCGAAGATTGGAACAGCATAACCACCAACCCAACCTATTGTACATATGGAAGTTATGGCGGTGAATACTACATTAACCTTCAAGATGGGTAGTCCAAGAAGAATGCAGATGGCGGCGCAAAGCCATACAGCATTAGAAGGAACTTTGTACTTCGGGTGAAGTTGTCGCCAGATGGATGAAAATGGGATTCCCTTGTCTCTTGATAGAGCATAAACCTGTAGAAGATCACAGTATATGCACTGGGTTAGCAGATAATTTCAAGACATTGCACAACAGGATAATCCTCATGTTCGAAACACTTTCAACTTTCCCTATTCAAAAGAATATGCATACAATTTCAGATATATGTAAGAGAGATGAGGGTGTTAAGATGGATCTGTGGTCATACTAAACGTTATAAGACAAGAAAGGAGAATATACGCTAACCAGTAAGGTGTCATCAATTTAGGATGAATTAAGGAAATGATGACTTAAATGGTTGAGACATATTCTAGAACGACTTAAAGAGGATTCTATTACTAATATTGACTAAAAAAGATGTCAAAAGAGAAACGTGTAAATCAAAACAAAATAGCAAAAAAAGTTTCATATGGCTAATCCCAAATTTGTTGACAATGCATACTTTGTTGTTATTGTAGGATAGCATATATTTCAAGATTCTAGGCAGAGAATATTCATAATAAAATCTTGTGATTCACTAGTGTCAAATAGAAATCACAAACTTTGCTTTAATTCATAAAACAGCAGCATAAAATAAAGGGCACAGGAATGTAAAGGCAGGTAACAGCAGACTTACCACTCTGGCCGCACTTGTAGTTATTGAGAGTCCACCAAAGAAAAATGAACCCCATATGATAAAGAGTAAGATAATTGCTCCGGTCGAGTTATGATATCTTCCATGAAATGCATCATACAGTATTTGAGCTGGCACAAATGCTCCAGCAGTTTCATTAGATGTATCATACAGATAGCTTGGATCCTGAAACATGAGTTTGAATCACCAACCAATAGATTCCTTGAAACAATTCCTTTGTAAGTGGTGAGTCAGCTAATAGGTGTGAAGGGACCTGACCTCCTAGAAAGGGCTCTCCTTTATGTATGTCAATGAGATCAACAAAGATCATGAAAATTGATGAAGATCACAAAGATTATGACCTAACATAATTATGTATGTAATTGTATTTATCATATTTAGATTGATACTATAGTTGTATAAGGTAATACTCTTCCTATATAATGCAAGGAATCCATCGAGAAAAAATGATTCAGTCGAGAGTTTGTCAATGTATAAGGGCGGGATGAGAATAAATTCCATTTTGTATTTCTGCCACAAACATAATCAAACACACTGAGAATCAAAGGAAATACCTGAATGCTGAAAGTAAGAGCCAAGATATATGCCCATCCAAATACTGAAATGATGCCTATGCTTGAGAGAATAGCTATAGGACCATTCTTGTCTGCGCCTTTAGTTTCTTCAGTCAGATGTGCTGCAGCATCATAGCCATATAGTGAATACTGACTCACCAGAAGAGAGAGTATGGCTGCGTATGCATTGCTTGATATCCCTGTTGACTCCGGTGACAGTTGAAATTCAGTGAATACATAAGAAGCTGACTGTCGAGATAGGGCTACAAGCGGAAGCATGATAACTATTACTAATCCCCCAATCACCTGCGAAGAGGAAATGCATGTCACTGAAAATAACTCTAGGGTTGATTAACCAATACAAATTATGAATGTATGCTATCTTTCTGCTTGTGGTAGCCATCCTCATTTTCGTCTCCTGTATGGTTGGCCAAAGTTGACCTGGTGTACAGGGGACAATGACCAAGAATGCTAACACGTGGCAGTTCACGAGTTCACTAGGTAGCAACTACTTTTTCCAAAAATGCTCAACTTGACATTGCCATCATCAATACATGAAGAGAGTAGATTCCAGACATCTAAAATAACTATCAGTATAGATAGGGGTGGAGCCAGCACCCAGCGAGCCATGGCAACAGCCCAAGTTGGCTCTATATGACTTTTTTTTTTTATCCTATATATTGGGAGGCTGCTAGAGCGGCTGTGCGCACTCGCCTAGGTCTGCCATAGCTCACTCGAATTCCTAGATTCGCCACTGAGCTGGTATGACTTAGAGAATCCCATTTTGCTTAAAATAGCTTACTTGTTTTCAATTTTGTCCAATAAAAATTTTATTTACTTATGAGCAAACATTCTAAGCTTAGGCAAATATGCTCTTATGAGGAAAGAAGTACAAACCAAGATTTTTGGATTTATTGTACAAATTTTAATCCCTTCTCGTCTCACTCTTCTCGAAAACAAACATATCAAAGTTGACATCTTTTGGCATTCTATCTGTTGGGGAGCAACAATGCTGCTATTAAGCTAATGAGTTGTGTCACTCAAATGTAAGTGATCGAACATCATAAATTGTTTAGCATTTCCCTATTGGACACCAATTGGTTTTCAGATGACATGTTAAAGCCCGACCAACACTATCAAACACTATTGGCAAAATACTGGATTAGGAAAATAAAATAAAATAAGAAATAAATAAATAAAATAATGGAGGAGGTACCTGCCACCAAATTGATATGATATCAATAAATGCAATAACTTCAAGTGCAAATGTATTCAGCGCTGCCCATATAATTGTAAGGCCTATGTACATACACAAGAATAACCATTTTGGAGCAAAATATCCTCCATCTTTATTTGTACCAGTGCATAACAAGATTATACTCTGCAGAGTCTGCGATCCTGCATAAGCCTAACAGAGCAAAATGGAATTATAAATAATCTGCATTTTACACTTTGTTAGTTTGAAACAGTAAACATGTACCTGTGTCCCTATGCCGGCTATTAGGCCTATTGTCTCGAGCCAAGCACAGCACCACGATGCAAACGGTCCCCATTTGGGGCCGGCTAAATGTGCAGCCCAGAAATACAGAGAACCAGTAGTCTGCAAATCCACAAGGTGAAATGAGGCATTAGAAAGTTTTAGGATGGATTGAAACACATATGAAGACTTGAAGTTGGGCGCTTCTTCTCTATGGACATTTGAAAGTCGAAAACGATCTAGGGAGGGAAGAAACTCTCTGAGAAAAGTGTGCGGGAAAAAAATTCTCTTATGAATGGATTTATGAATACTCTTAATACACGTTGAACTATCTCGCCTAAAAATTAAACTTTCAAAGAAGAAAAAAATGAAGATTACCTAGTTCTTATCAACATTTTTAGATTACTTCTCTTTCTTCCTTAATTTTGTGTTTGCTTATTGAAATAATAAGGTTTCGACCCAACTAACATCTCATGGGGGTTAACAGGTGTAATACGCGGAATTAAAGTTTAACACATAACATGCAACAAGTCACTAATTATTTTATCTAGATGAACAAATTTAATCAAATTAAACCCTATTTAATCAATCAAGCATGCATATCAAAGTAGTAAACTAAAGAACACCAATATTTGTTAACGACGGAAAACCCGTTGAAGAACTCTTCGATTATGCCTCCTGCACTTTCTAGAACATCTGGACTTCTTTTCCCTTTGCGTGGATCACCAAGAACGAATCTCGTTCTTCTCTAACTGGAATTCAAGTTGCCTCTTCCGAACTTCAAAACTTTTAAGGCTATTTGATAAAGGATTTGATCGGTGTTTGATTTTTAGATCTTATTGTGCTTTGATCACATGGTTGAGGCAAAAGATTTATGGAATTTGTATCTGATCTTCAAATGATGTTCTCTTGACTGCATAATTGCTCAACGCGCATTTGGAACGAACTATGGCTTTGGTATTTATATTATGAAGTATTTGAGGTTGTTTCGGATTGTAAAAATTGTCAAAATCGCGAACCCTAGTTTGTTCGGGATTATAAAAACTGTCAAAAAGGAGTATTCTATTTAGCTGAATAATACGTCCGCTCGAGCGAGCAAAGGTCTCGCGGATAGCGAGCGGTGAGTTAACCGCTCGAGTGCTCCACTCCTTCCAAAAACACTACCGACCCTTGACAACTTGACTCTAATTACAACTCAATTAAATGATATTTTGGGCACGGAACTTGACAATACACTTTAGACCTAACACTTATAATAGGTACTAATTGTTAACAAAAGTTTATGAAACAAACCGGGAAGGATGAGCAAATTTCGGCCATGGCGATTCCAACAAACCAAGTGAAGAATGTTACTATAATCCAGCCCCAAACAAGAGGTGCAGGCCCTGCATACTGAAGACTCGAACCATACAGTGGAGTAATCCCTGTGAAGAGTGTCATCGTTGAAAACGAAATTGCAAGCGTCTTAAACAAAGTCTGCAACAAGTTATTGAACACGAGAATTTCCTTTAGTGTTCAACCAAAAAGCCCAATAATTTTTTCACAATTTTCTGCAAAAACTCCAATGTTTTTCATAGCTGCTTGAAGCCATGGTAAAGAAATAGGGTTACAATAAGCTAATATCCATCATATATATAACTTTGTCAAATCTTATGACATGAAAGTTCGCCCACCCTCAAGCCTGGGTAAAGGTGTATGTTAGGCTGGCAGCCAAAGCACGTAGAATGTTTCACATCTTGTGACATAAATCCTAATCTAAAGTTTTTGTATGGAATTAAAAGTTATTACACGAAAATTTGGAGGCCAAAATATGTAGAACTTTTACAAATCTTATGACGTAAATCCTTTGTACGAGATTAAAAGTTATTGTATGAAAATGTTTGAGGGATCATATCTGATTTACTTACCATTTCTCTTCTAAGCTCTTGCTTGTATCCAAGCTCATTTAACCGCTTCTCTCCAGAATCCATCTGTTCCATTTGTGTCAACTTAGTCCAGCCAACTAGACTTCAGAAAATCAAGATACTGCAACTATAACAACTCAACCAAGATTAACCAGCATACGCCGCCGCTGCTGCTGCTGGTTCTGGTGGTGGTGGTGGTGGCGGCCGGGTGTGGAGAGGAGGAAGGTGTGAAGGAGGTGTTGGCTAGGAGGAAAGGAAGGCAGAGCAAGAGGCAGTTGAAAGATTCATATATGATTTGCTTTGTTTATTTCAGTATGAAACTGAATAAGTCAATAGTAAAGTTTTCTATTGCCATGTTTGAATTCAGGTACCCCAAAAGATTAAAATACAGCCGAAACTCAAAGCAATTCAACTTCATACTTGGTCTTCCATGTGACGTGAAGGATTTGAGTAAACAATGCTTCAATTTGAAGTAAACTAATTTACTCACACTTGAATATCAATATATTGTTGTTAGTCTTGTAATTTCGGCTACAAAATAGACCTACAAAACAGCGCACGACACTGGCTACTCCCTAATCTAAAGTTAGTCGTAAAGTTTACATAACACCATAATAAATCTATTTATGCGCTAAAATTATATAACTATCTACGTGCATGTATTATAAGCAACCGATGTACTATTTTTGAGACCTTCGACATGGCCTGACCCAAAGCTAGAATAGGCTGGCATATTATTACGGATTGATTATGACGTGACAATGGATAACGCCAGAATAGACATCGATAACACAGGTGATGTCGACATTTCACCTATCCACTTTCAACTTTCCTTAGATATGTCCCAAGACCATCCCTTTATATAATTCACGGACGTAGATATATTTATTATTGTGATATTTAAATATTGAGAATAACTTTAGATTAGAGGGTAGCTTATGACAAGCAACTCCAGCATCGGAGTGGTGAAATTTAAACTTCTTGTTTCTTCTACTCTTCTAACTTATCGGAGTGGAAATGGCGGCCCCTCCCCTCTAAGGTAATCAGACTTACTATTCGGATTAATAGAAAGATACAGAAAGATTTTGAGGTCGGCAACATACCTTAATGGCTCAAATTCCAGAAAGCTTTAATATAGTTGTACAAACTGCTAGACAGAGACAAAATAATGGTAGTTTGACTTTGAGATATTTGTTGACTATTGACTAATTTAATTGGAAGAATCCAAGATTCTTAAATAGAAAGATTCTAATTCTATGTCCACGTTATTGATTTTTCATAAATTTCCCGATAAAAATGCTTTGACAGAGTCTAAGATAGTTTCTGGCCATAGGTGTGTCTGATAAAGCCTATCCGGGCCGAAATGTCAATCAAATTTTTATAATTAAAATGTTGAGCGAAGTTTCCGTGTCAATTCATTCTAATCACCAATAATGATATCGTCAAACAATATTATGTCATTTCTTAAATCATGAACAAATTTTCTAGCTTGGACACTCCTGATTTTAATGAGACAAGCTAGTTATCTAATTTTGTGTAACAATCGCGTTTTTCATTTTATAAAAGTCACGTTTACATAAATAGAACTAAGTTAAAGATCAATTTCATTAGAATGACTTTTGTTAAAAGAGCGAGCTTGAATTTGTATTCAGTCTACTTAACAACTAATGTGTTGAAATTTGAGGCTTCAATCGACCAATTTCCGGGCTCAGTCTACCTTCCAATCGACACCCAAGCAAGTGACCTCTAACCTTAAAACTCTCCCTCACTTTGGTTGCTACCAATATGCCCACTTAGAACAGCGAAGGAGAAGGTGTTTGCAACCACAAAGGCAAAGCCACAAAGGCTAAAGGCAAGGAGAAGATAACAAGACTCACTTCACAAACTGGAAGCACAAAGCAAGGTGAAAGGCAGCCATGTTCTCTCAATTGCAAAGGCAAGACACACTTCCCAAATGACTAAGACAAGAGAAAGAGAAACATCGGTTTGACATAATCGTTCGGATTTATTGGGTATCAAAAAATCCCAACAAATCTCCACCTTGATCCCAATAAATTTGCAAACAATCAAAACACACAGTTCATACTTGCATAATCAAGGCAACCAATAAAATTGATATCACAGACCTTACCTCGTGTTTCGAACTCGAAACACATACCATACCTGCTCCATATACTAACCAGGGCTAAGATCAAGAACACCCAAGTAGAAGTAAATAATCACAGCAATCAATCAAGAGCAAATAAACATGCGATGAAGATATTATATAGGATAACACAGATCTTTTCAACCATATTCACATAGAACAATAGATTAACACCAAGTCAATCACCAGGCCAACACATACGCAACAAATGCATAAATGACCTTACGAAGATCTCACCACACTTATCTTATTCCATTCTGTGTTGCTCACACCTCGAGAACACATATCTCACATCATCGCCCACCATGCTCACTAGACTAATCACTCAAACAAACATGTCTAACTGGTAAGTCTCTATAGATCTTAAGTTCTCGGGATAATCATTTATCACCACATCACTTCTCCAACCTAAGTGGATAATGAATCTTCACCTAACAGAAGTGATAGAAGTGTCTCTCTCGCACTCCACCTGATCAGGGTCTCTTCACAGATAAAGAATTCCAAACATTTGATAACATCTCCACTCCACATCCCACAGTACAAACCACAATATACCCCTAGGCATTTATACTCCACTTTACCAAAAGACACACAGCACACTACCAAATGCATCCCTAACCCACTATGGCAAATCAACACTTTTCGACGACCACAAAGGTTATGGGTCAATTTAAATTGACCCACACACCACAAGATTTCTCCAACACCAATGCTCTAACAAATCCACAAAGAATTTATCCCACAAAGGGAAAGGTGAAGGTGGCACGCTGCCCTCTAACTTCTCACTATCACACTCTCACACACCACTCACAGAGCAAAACAGAGTAAGTCATAGATGTCAACCCACTATGCATGCAAACATATTACACAAAGTAATAAGATCATTCCAATTCATGCCAATGCACATATCAAACACATTGAAATGCAATATATAATCATGCAGCGGAAACGAACAATCAAACACATGAAGAAATGATTACACACGGATGCAAATGCAGCAACTAGGTCTAATCTCAATAAACCTCACTAGGGCCATCACTCGACTCTAGTACTAAATTCGTCTCGCCTCTCAACTTACCCTTCTTTTTTGGACAATCCCTAATGAAGTGTTCAAACTTACCACAACTGTAACACCGTCTACCATCGGACTTGTCCCAACTCTTGCTCTTCTCCTTACCACCATCATCACTCGAGTCACTACTCAAATCACTGTTATCTTGAGCTCTACCCAAATTTATTTGCTTAAACTTCATTCTACTCCTCATCATATGCAACTCACCAGTTTGTTTATCTTCTTTTTCAGCCTTAATCTCCATTTCCTTACTCCTAAGGGATTCGATGACAATCTCGGGGGTTAAAGTGTCCATACCATACTCAATCGCATTCTTAACCTCTCTATTTGACTCAAGCATAGAATTAAGCAAAATAATGGCCTTATAGATTTCAGACACTTTCTCATCACAGTTGACGATGTCATGCACCAACTTTTTAAAAACATCCAACTTGTCATCTAGATCCTTTGCATGATCCATTTTAAAGCTAAGGAATCTTTCGAACAAGTACAACTCATTTGGAGTGGATTTAAGTAAATATAAATCCTCCAATTTTTTCCAAAGTTTTTTGGTAGAATTGAGTTTTCCAACTTTTCTAAAAACAGTATCAGACAGGCGTAAAATGATATAAGTGTATGCAAGTTCATCATATTCTTCTTTTTGTACTTCTGTAAAAATTTTCGAAAATTTGCTATCAATGGTTTTTGAAACTTTTTGTTGGACCAAAATACCCTTTATCTTTTATTGCCAAATTGAAAATTCCCATTTCCAGTCGAAAATCCCAATTTCGGAATGTGAAGACATTTTGAAAAATAGAACAACAAAAAAATACACAAGTAGGTCACACAGAGTAATCCTAAGGCAACAATATATACCGTTCTAGATTCTCAGGGTTTCGTAAGATTCATGATCTTAGATCAAGAGAATGTTCGAACGGGTCAAGTCAAGGTGTTTTAATGGAATAATCAATGCAACACGAAAGTATACCAGCACAATTCAAATTTTCATGCAAAACAATCTCACACAGAGATAAAACAACAATTACAGCATAAAAGCAATTACCAACTTACAGTTAAATTCAAACTTCAAATAGAGCAACAAAAATTCTAGCACAAGCAATGGTTACCCCTTCACGGTAACCTCAATCCTAATGTTACCCCATACGATGACACGCTAATGCTGGAATTAAACGGGATAAGTCAATTTACCAGAGCGGACCTATCTTAGTCCGTAAATTACAAGAGATAATTTTAACACTTTAGGGCCATCACTATTTGCCCTAAAGTTTGCGGCAACTATTAGAATGCAAAACTGGATCCCGAACAAGTAGGGGCAAAATTGTCCAACTTTTCCTGTGTAACCTGAAACACTAAACCAAAAGTATCAATACGTTCAGGAACTTAAACTTAACAACCTGTCTGAAGAAATGCTCATTAGAAGAGCCCGCACGCGCCACCCACGCGCCTCGTCGGAATGCCCACGCGCCGCCGTCGCCGGCGGTCAACTTCCCCACGTGCCGTAACCCAGGAAAGCCTCCACCCGCAGAGCTCGAATATGGGTTCAGTTTTTCTAGCTGGTCACTGGTTTGGCCAGAAAACAAGTTTGAAGGTGCGGTTTTATGGGGGAAAACTGGACAGATTTATTTTCAGTTTCTACCGGTTTTCTGCTGATTTTTGGAGTTGCCTTCACCGGAAATAATGACCACCTATAGCTCTAATACCATATGTTGGGATTTGAGGCTTCAATCGACCACTTTTCAGGCTCAGTCTACCTTCCAATCGACACCCAAGCAAGTGGCTTCTAACCTTAAAACTCTCCCTCACTTTGGTTGCTACCAATATGCCCACTTAGAACAACGAAGGAGAAGGTGTTTGCAG